CTCGCTGCTGCTGCTGCCGCCACTGCTTTTTCATGTAAAAAGGACTGCAGGCGCTGGTGAATGGACTGCAGAGAAGCATAGACAGCAGGAAACAGGAAAGTATATAAATTGACACGAGTTCACAAAAGGCTGCTGCTGCTACCACTCGTGATAGACTGCAGGGAAGCAGTGACCCTAAACCCCAAAGCCTAACCCTAGCACCACCAGCAGCAGCATCACCACTGACAGCAGCAAGGGCGGCGGCTTCCTGTGCTCTGAGCAGCATAGATTACGCCCCGCACAGCATAGATTCCTGTGCTCGGAGAAACCCCTCTTGCGTTACCTGCTTGTGTCCTTGTACTCCTGCTGCTTTCTCCTTCTCACCCTTGCATCTATCTTGTCCCTGTCCCCTGGTTCCCTTCTTCGTACTCACCCACTACCTTCCCCCTCCTGTGCTCGTGCTCAAGCCGCTCGGGCCCGAGACACAGGACTTCCCAGCTGAGGACGGCTGCTCTTCATCCGTGCCTTGTGGGTCTGGTTCCTGCCACGGTCAGCTCTCTCTTCGTCTTCTCCAGCTCCAGTACTCCCACACTTCGCCCCGCTTGCACCCGCCCACTCTTCTGTTGTCCTCCTTTGTCCGTCTCTGTCCGCCCTGCCCCTACAGCCTCTTCTGTCCCCCTGCCACCCAGCTGCTGCCGCTGTTCATAGCTGCACGCATCCCCCATCTGCACCACATGTAGGTCCTCCACCAATGCCAGTATCACTTCCTTCAGGTGTCCTACTGCCTTGCCTCCCTCCCAGGCCGCCCACTTCTCAGCCTCTTCCATTCCCCTGGATTCTGACAGCACCTGGGATGCTAGCCGCATCGGCTCATCTGCCCATGTTCCTCCCTTAATCCACCTTACCGTCTTCACGGCCTCTTCTGCTTCCTGACTCGTCGCATTTTCCATTGTATGCTGCCTTTCTTCCCCCACAGGCAGGCACTCCCATGCCCCCACTTCCTTGCTCTCCCTCTCTGCTTCCTCTTGCTCCTGGGCTTTGTCCCACACTGGACCTTCCCATCCTCCTACCCGTAGGTCTCCTGTCCCCCAGTCGCACGCCATCCCTACTTTTATGCTCCTCACACCCGTCTCAGCTCCTCTCACGGCTTCTTTTACCATTTTCTCCCCCAGCAGCTCCGTACGTTCTTCCCTCAGCTTCCTCACATGCTGCTCCGCCCTCATACTTCCCTGCACTTGCTTCTCTGCCTTTAGTACACACGGTCGTGCCCCCACCTTCTCGTCCTTCCGTTCTGCCTCTGCTACTGCAGGTACACACGCTCCCGCCCCCACCTGCTCTTCCTTTTCCTCTGCCTTCGCTGCTGCTGTTACACACACACCCGCCCCCACCTTCTCGTCCTTTTCTTCTGCTTCCGCTGCTGCTGTTACACACGCTCCTGCCCCCACTTGCTCGTCCTTCTCCTCTGCTTCTGCTGCTGCTGGTGCACACACCCATGCCCCCACTTGCTCGTCCTTCTCCTCTGCTTCTGCTGCTGCTGGTGCACACTCCCATGCCCCCACCTGCTCGTCCTTTTCTTCTGCACCGGCTGCTACCAGTTCACACGCCCCTGCCCCCTCCTTCTCGTCCTTCTCCTCCCCTTCTGCTGCTGCCCATGCCCCCACCTTCTCGTCCTTCCCTTCCGCGCCTACCGCTACCGGTTCATCCGCCCATGCCCCCACCTTCTTGTCCTTTTCTTCCGTTTCTGGTGTTACTTGCACACACACCCATGCCCCCACCTTACTCACTTGCTTCCTTCGTCCGTCCCTGCCCCCACTGCTCCACCCCAGGTTTTCATGGCGACGCAGCACCGCACAGGAGTGCTCTGGCTCATGCTCCTCTTCCTCCTCTTCCTCTTCCCTCGCATACACTCCTGGTTCTTTCTCCTTCTTGCCTCCCAAAGCCTGCAGCTGAGCCCGCAGCCTTCCTATCTGTGTTTCTATCTCCTCTTGTGACCTCCTTGCTCCCCCAGTCCTCTGATAGCAGTCCTTCTGCTGATGCCCCCTCTTCCCACACACTTCACAGGTTGGCGCGTCAGGGCAGTTCTGACGGCGGTGCCCTGGTTTCCCACACACGTCGCAGTTCTTGCAATTCAATCTTACATGTCCTGGCTGTCCACACCTGTAGCAGGTCTTCGTGTCTGTCCTTCTCTCATATTGCTGCTCCTCTCCGCCTCCCACCCCCAGTATCATTGCTGCCGCCCAGGTGGGTCACATCTTCTCAGCCACTGTTGGCAGGTATGCCTCATAACGCCTCTGTGCCAGCTCCACCTTTTCTGTTAGCTCAAACACTTCCTCCAGGCTTGCTTCTGCCCCCAGCTCGTATACTCTCATTTTCAGTCCTCCGGCCAGCCCGTTGTCCAATCCTGCCAGGAACTTACTAATCAGCATGCTGCTGTCGGTACACACCACATCCTCGGCCAGGTTCATGAGCCGCCCATAATACGTCAGCAACGACTCATCCTTCCTGCGTTTGAAGTCCTGAAACTCCCTGATTCGCGCTGCCATGTGTCCTGGGAATTGCTTGCGCAGCCGCTCCAGGAACAGTGACGTAGGGTCGTCCCCATCCTCCTCTGCCCTCCTCAGCCACTCATGCATCTTCATGCGATACAATGTTTCTGCTTCCCCACCCAAAGTGTTCGGCAAACTCAAAAAGAAGTCGATGGGGTCCATCCCACTCCGATCGCACCTGTACTTGACATTCCCAATCTGCATCAGATAATTCTTTAGATTAGTGCTTGTCCCTCCATCCCCGTGAAACGCACTGGCACCTCTACTTGTGGTGGCGCTTGCATGCCCCATCTCCCTGAGTCCCAGGTTCCCGTTGCTCCTCGCTCCGCGCGGCTAACTTCTCCTCTGTGCTCTCTCATTCCCCTGCTGCCTGTGCTTGTCCCACACAGCACCCTGTCTATCCCTTCTCTAGCAGCTCTGGCTTCGCTAGATCCTTCTCCTGTCTGCCGTGGCCTCCTGGGGCCCCTCGGACTCGGACTCCTTCTCTGCTCCTCCTCGTGAGCCTCTCTTCGCCCGCCTGCTTCCCCCCATCGCCTTTCTCTCCTCTCAGGCGAATAATCCTGGAATCGCCCTTCTCGCTTCCTCCTTTCCCGCTGCTGCTGGTCCTCTCTCTCACGAAACTCTCTCCGTTCTTCTTGCCTGCTCCTAAGCCCTTCTCTCCTTCCAGGGATATATTCTTCCCAGCTTTCCTTCCTTTGTCTTGATCCATGGCGTGCCCGCCTGTCACTCTCTTCCTCTTCCCCGCTCTCTGTTTCATACTTGTGCATCCCCTCCCGTTGCATGTGCTGCTTGTCACCTCTCTTCCTCTGTCCGCTCAGGTCCTGCTTCTCCCTCACCCCCGCTCCAGGTTCCATTCGCCCTTCTCGCCTTCCCCTGTACCCCTCTCTTTCTTCAGGGCATGACTTCTTCTCCCGCCACTCCGGCTTCCCGCGTCGCGCCGTTCCAGATCATACCCATAGTCCTCTTCTTCACTGTACTCATGTTCCTTCTCTTCACTGTACTCATGTTCCTTCTCTTCACGCAGCTCCTCATCACTCCTTCTCATCTTCTCCCTCCACTCCTTCCTCTCAAGGGACTCTCCTTCACAACGTCTCCCTCGTCCGCCTGCTCCTCGGCGCTCATGATCCTCTCTTCCTCTTCCTTTGTCACTTCCCGGGTCCTTCCCTGGGGACACCTCTCGCCAGCAGCGCTCTTACTCACCCCTTCTCCTGTTTATCTCTCTCTCCTGCCTCCCCCTTGCCTCTCCGGCAGGATCCTGCACCAACCCCGCTCCCGCGCATGGGTACTCGTCTACTCCTTTCCGGTGTGTTCTTGCATCTGCACCCGTGATGTACTGCCACCAACACACACTGCCGTTAACACGTGCTTCCCTCTCCTCCGTCCGCTGCCGTGCACGCGAGCGCCGCGCGCGCCTCCTCTCGTGGGCGTGCTCACTTCCTTCTCCCCCTTGCTCTGGTGATCGCCATCCGCCCAACGCCATGCGCCTCCTGCGCTCATGTCCGCGTCTTGGCTCAGGCGAGCTATACACTCCCGCCTGCACGTCCCGCCTCCTTTCTTCCTCACGGCTGGCTCCTGGCGCGTGCTCAGTCTCCTTGCCTTCACCGCGCCTCGCGTTACTTCCGCGCAGCCTGCCTGGCGAGCGATCCGCATCCGCGCTCCCGCGGCGCCTTGCGCCATTCTCAGGCATTTCGCCCGCCGAACTGTCTGCATCCGTGCTCCCGCGGCGCCTTGCGCCATTCTCAGGCATTTCGCCCGCCGAACTGTCTGCATCCGTGCTCCCGCAGCGTCTCGTGTCATTCCCGCGCATTCCGTCAGTCGAACCGGCTGCATCCGCACCCCCGCGGCGCCTCGCACCCCCGCGCATTTCGCCAGCAGAACGATCTGCATTCATGCTCCCGCGGCGCCTCGCTCTTCCCTCGCGCATCTCTTCTCGCGCGCGATCTGCTGCCATGTCCTCGTGGCGCCGCGCGCCACCCCCGCGCATCTCGTTCGCCGAACGATCTTCTTCCATTACACATCCGCGTGTTTCGCGTCCATCTCTGCCATCGCTTTGCAGATTGTCCTCTTTCACATCCGCCTGTTCTTCTCCGCGGCGCCTCGCGCCATTCCCACCCATTTCGTTTTCGTCCGTCGCACCAGCTGCATCCCCGCTGCCATGAAGCCTTTCGCCACTCCCATCTGTTTCGTCCATCGCACCAGCTGCATCCGCACTCTCGCGGCGCCTCGCGCTTCCCTTGCGCCTGTCGTCCGGCGAGCAATCCGCCGCCGTGTTCCCTCGACACCTCACTCTGCCTTCTTCACACATCCCCTCTAATGCAGGATCTTTTTCCGCGTCGCTATTACGCTCTTCTGCACCTCGATTCTGCAGATCTGCCTCCTCCCTGCCTAGGCGTTGTTCCCCGCCGCCCCGCGCAGTGGTGACACCTTCGCAATCTCCCTCGTCGTCAGCCTTCCTTGCTGATTCCGGCGAGTCCGTCATATCCGCGTCGTCATGACGCCCTTCTCCCGCTCCTTGCTGGCCACCTGCCAGATTCCAAGGATCACTTCTGGACGGACGAGGCCTGGGCTCTGCCTTCACATGCGGATCGCCCTGGCTTCCTCCCCGTCGCCCTCGTATGGGTGAGCCCCCATCCGCGCGGTACGCCGTCCTCCGTGGCGAACGCGTCCGCGATCTCCCGCGCTCCAATGAGCGCATCCTCCGCGACGGTGAAAACTCCCGACGCGAGTCCATCTGCTGCCAACGCAGCTCGTGGCAGTCCATACCGCCTAGTCACCTAGCTGCTGTAGCGTTAGAACGGCAACGTAAATCCACTATTTTAGGCAAACAAACGAGAGAACAGGGATGCGATTGCTACCCTAGGCTACTTTATTCACCCTCACCCGTGTTGCCAATTTCTTGGCGAGTGAATTGGGCTCGAGTCGCCTGGGCCTTGGATTGGCTGATCCTGATTTCCTGTCTCTCGAGGCTTTCTGAATCCAACCCCTTTGTACCCAGCAGTGCCCTATTCTACCAACTTCACGTCACCCTCCAGAACCCAACCAACCCTCGCTGAAACTGAATACTACAAGCTACACCCCTCTACACCTCACAAGCATGTAACAGAACATAATGCTTTTACCTTTATGTTCTGTGACACTGTGCTCTGAGCAGCATAGATTACGCCCCGCACAGCATGCACACATGCTTACCTGCAGCAGAGCAGACGAGACCACGCAGGTATCACCATACACGTCCGCCCCATCCAACCCCTGCCCCTCTGCACCAGCAGCACCAGTAGCACCAGCAGCACCACCAACACCACCACCTGCCTTCTACCAGCACTGGCAGCAGCACAGCTTGCACTCCGCACAGCATGCACACATGCTGAGTCTGTCCTTTAAGAATTCTCAAAAAACACACATGCATACCTGCAGCAGAGCGGACGAGACCACGCAGGTATCGCCATACACCTCTGCCCCATCCAACCCCTGCCCTTCTCCAACAGCACCAGCACCGCTGGCAGCAGTACTGGCAGCAGCAAGGGCGGCAGCCTTCTGTGCTCTGAGCAGCACAGGGCAGAGCTGCAGCAAGTGGGCACAGTCGGAGGGAGAGAGCGCTGGGGGGAGGGCTGTTGCTGCATCGCACCTGGAGGGACGGAGACAAGGAGAGGAAGGGGGAGTGGAGGGGAGGAGACGGGATACTGAATCTCTGAGCAGCACGGGGCAGAGCTGCAGCAGGTGGGCGCAGGCAGAGGGAGAACGCGCTGGGGGGAGGGCTGTTGCTGCATCGCACCTGCAGGGGAAGGAGGGAGAGAGGGGGAATGCATGCAGGGAAAGGGGTCGGGGATTTTCTTTTGAGATGTCAAGTCTTCACACATGGAGAGGACGGGAGAGGCATCAAAGAAAGAAGTGGGAACATTGAATGCTTTGTGTAGCACAGGGTAGAGCTGACACAGGTGGGCAAAGCAGGTGATCAAAGCAGGGGCGAAACGCAAGCAGGTGGCGGAGAGAGGCGAGAGCCTAGAGGCAAGTGGTGAGGGAGGAAGACACGTCGATGAATGCAGGCTAATTACAGCAATGCGCAACCCCTGCACGTCCAGCACACACTTCTTACCATGCCACCAACGCGACGCACCCACCATGACTTTGCTGCAATCGCCTCTTCCACAGCAGCATCCAGCTGATGCACCAATGAGGAGCGGACAAATGTCAAGTCCAGAAGCACAAGTGTGTGTGTGTGTGTGTGTGTGTGTGTGTGTGTGTGTGTGTGTGTGTGTGTGTGTGTGTGTGTGTGTGTGTGTGTGTGGGTGTGGGTGTGTGTGTGTGTGTGCACGCACGCGCGTGCGTGTGTGCATGTCTGCGCGTGTGTGCGTGCGTGTGTGTGTGTGTATGTGTGTGTGTGGGTGTGGGTGTGTGTGTGTGAATGTGTGTATGTGTGCGTGCGTGCGTGGGTGTGTGTATGTGTGTGAGTGTGTGTGTGGGTGTGTGTGTGTGGACGCGCGTGCGTGTGTGCGTGTGTGTGTGCATGTGTGCGTGTGTGTGTGCGTGTGTGTGCGCGCGTGTGCCTGTGTGCATGCGTGTGTATGTGTGCATGTGTTTGTTTGTTTGCTTTTCGTTTTTTATTCTCTGTCTTCCCCGGCACCTCAACAGCAACCCCCATGCCATCAGCACACTTACCATGACTTTGCTGCAATCGCCTCTTCCACAGCAGCGTCCAGCTGATGCACCAATGAGGAGTGGACAAGTGTCGAGTCCAGCAGCAACGCGCTGCTCTTGTCGGGAAACAGCGACTCCAGGTACTGCCGCGGCTGGGGGATGCCCAGCTGCCGCACAGCGGAGAAAGTTATGAAGGCGTTCTGAAAGGTGGAGGGATGTGTGGCGGGGTGGAGATGGCATCGAAATGGTGTGAAGAGTGAGTATATGTGGCCTGGAGAAGGTCAGCAGTGCGCTGCTCTTGTTGGGAAACAGTGACTAAAGGTACTGCCGTGGCTGGGGAATGCCCAGCTGCCACACTGCGGAGAACGTTATGAAGGCGTTCTGAGGGGTAGAGGGGTTCGTGAAAGGGCCGGGAGGAAACGGGATGGGCCAAGAGGAGTGGGAGGGAGTGAAGGGGAATGATGAAGAGAGACTCGAGGTACTGCCAGGGCTGGGGGTGGGGGATGCCCAGCTGCCGCACAGCATAGTGGAGAAAGTTATGAAGGCGTGGAGGGGTGAATGGAGAGGTGGAGATGGCATGGAAATGGTATGAGTGAGGAGAGGGTGGGCAAGTGTAGTGGAGTAGTGGCGCGCTGCTCTTGTCAGGAAACAGCGACTCCAGGTACTGCTCTAGTTGGGAAACAGCGACTAAAGGTACTGCCGTGTCTAGGGGATGCCCAGCTGACGCACTGCGGAGAAGGTTATGAAGGCGTTCTGAGGGGTGGAGAGGTGTATGGAGTGGAGGGGTGGAGATGGCGGGAGATGGGACAAGAGAGGAGAGGGAGGGAGTGAAGGGGAATGATGGAGGGACTCACTCCCTCCCACTACCTTGCTGCTGCCCCTCACCTCTCTAACCTCACTTCCCAATTCCCAGAATGGACCAAAAACGGCACAGCCGAGTCACCTGCGAAAAGAAGGACTCTACGCTCTGCCGCTGCAGCTGGGCGAATATCTCCGGCACCCACTGCTGCTGCTGCCCCCCCCCTCCCTCGCCAGCATATGACAAGACAAGGGGACGAGCAATAGAAGACCTGACTGACCTGCGAGAAGAATGCCTCGACGCTCTGCCGCTGCAGCTGGGCGAATATCTCCGGCACCCACCCCGTGCCACCACCCTTGCTGCTCCCCCGCACCTCCCCCTCCGCCACACACTCCCCAAACACCCGCGCAAACAGCGCCGCCTCTGCCGCCCCCACTGCTTCAGCCTTCCCCCCTGCGCCTCCTCCCCCCCCTCCTCCCCCTGCGCCAACTCCCCCTCGGCCTGTCCCTCCTGCTTCTGCCCCCCCTGCGGATTCTTCCTTGCTACCACCTCCTGTCACTTGTGCTGCCCCCACTGCATCTGCTTTACCACTGCCACCAGCAGCAGCAGCAGCAGCAGCAGCAGCAGCAGCAGCAGCAGCATCAGCGCCATCACCAATACCAACACCACTACCACCTGCAGCAGCAGCGGCAGCAGCACCACCAGAACCAGCAGCAGCAGCAGAAGCATCCATGCCTGCCCGCCTCACCTCCGTCCCATCCCCATACTCCCTCCCATAGTCCCTCCCCAGCTCCCGCACCACAGACGGCCAGATATCCGCCATATTAGCAGCCTCGGTAAGAGCGCGGGCTGCCCCTCTCACAGCAGCGCGCATGCGAGCCATGTGCGCGCCGGTGAATAGCTGCCCGCCGCTCATGGTGCCGTGGATCTGGAAAAGGCAGGGGGGAGGAGGGGAAGAGTCAGGTGTTCATTGTGGCATTTAAAGAAGCTGTAAAACTCCCACCCGAGCCATGTGCGCACCTGTGAAGAGCTGGCAGCCGCTCATGGTCCCGTGGATATGGAAGAAGATGGGGGGGAGGGGGTGGGGAGGGGGGGAGTCGGGGTGGGTACTGAACTGAAGCCTTGGAAAGAGCCTATGGTGCGGCTCTCATCAACAGGGCTCCCACCCATGCCATGTGTGCGCCGCGTGTGAACAGCTGGCCACTGCTCATGGTGCCATGGATCTGGAAAAGGGAAGGAAAGGGTGGGGGGGGGAGGAGAGGGAGGGGGGGAGTCGGATGACAAAATCCAGGATTTGATAAGAGCCCTGGCAGCTGCTCTCTCAGCAACTCTCACATGGAGCACCTGTGAAGTACTGGCGGACACTCACATGACATGGTGCTCTCACATGTGTGTCTGTCTGCCGTGGAATCTGCAGTACGAAGGTGGGGGAAGGGAAAGAATAAGATTCGATGCCATGCAGTCTGCGCCCACGTTAACGCACAGGCACAGAGACGCATAGCCCAGAACCCCGCAATAAACCCCACACCCCTCAAACCCCAAACGGCACCCACCCGTGATCCCAGGCGCGATGAGAGAATGGAAGCCATGAGCTCCGCGCCCACGTTGAAGCGCATCGCCAAATCAGAGACCGCCACCTGTCCGCTCTCCTGCAGGGCGGCATCCACCTCGTCCGCCACCCCGTCCCAGTAGTCATGCGTGATCAGCTCGCCCTGCACCAGTTGCACCTGCTCACGAGCAAGGGAGGGGAGGATACGTAGTGAATGCTCATATGTGTGGTGAATGCTTGGGTATGTGCGGGCTGGTCAGGCCTGCATCTCCATCCACCTCGTCTGCCACCCACCCCGTCCCAGTGGTCATGTGTGATCAGCTCGCCCTGCACCAGCTGCACCTGCTCACGATCAAAGAGCCAAAGGGGGCCAAAAAGGGTTGAAAAAGGGCAAAAGGGGTCAAAGGTGGTGAATGGGGCACAGCCTGTGACGTGGCATCCTCTGAGGTCTAACTAGACTACTGGTCATTGCCGCCTGTTCACCACAGCAACAGACAAACCCACTTTCAGCAGCGTTCCCACACCGCAGCACAACACCGCAGCACAACACCAACGCACAACACACAGCAGGTACATGTTCCTAATCACATACCCATGGCTGCTCCTGTGTCTTGGCATTCTCCAGAATGTTCTTCGCCGCCCGTTCACAATAGAACAAATCAACGTTGAGCAGCGTGCCCAGGTCCACCAATGACACTCTGCCACGTCGCCGCACCTCCTCCTCCACCTCCTGCTGCAGTCGCTCCTGGAAAAGGGGAAGTGAGGAGGGACAGTGATATGCAGAAAAGTCTTACTGACGTTGTAAAATACCGTGCCTGCCACACTGCCTGCCTATGTTGGAAAAGTCGCGCCCAGCGCATTATACGCAAGCGTATATACGCTTGCGTATAGTGCGTTATGCGCTTCGTGAGTGACTTTGAAAGTCGCAGAAAGTACGCTGCCCGGGCAGCAAAAGGTTTCTACCGGGCAGACGAAAAAAACCGCCGAAGGAGGGGGGGGGGGGGAGTGGTGGTTTTACCGAATTTCATATATTGAAAAAACCTTACATTCTTAACTACTCTAAGCAAGCAACATGCATCTCTCCTACCCCACCCCCTACTCCCACCCTCCACTCCCCCCGTCCCTTCCTTCCTCCTCTACTTGTACTCATCTTCCAGCTCATCCTCCTCCCCCTCCTCTTCCATCCTCCTCCAGAACCTCATTGTACCCTTCCGGCAGGGAGGCCTCAAGGATGTTCCCCGGGAGAACCGTCACCCCCTCAGCCCCCTTGTGCCAGTTGCGCACAATGTTCCAATTGTGCGCAACATACACGAGGTCCCGACACTTCTCGGACCCCAACCTGTTGCGCTTGGCAGTGTGGATCGATTCCCACACTGCCCAGTTCCTCTCACACGCCGATGCGGACACTGGCTGAGAGAGAACGCGGCAAGCGAGCGTTGTCAGCTCGGGGTGCTCCGTCCCGTGCCACGTCCACCACTGGACGGCCGTCTTCTTACCGGCCTTCACGAGCTCACGGTCAGAGATGGCGTCGGGTAGGCCGAAGCTCCCCTGAAGGGTGTTGAATGCCGTCAGGCCGTCCTGGATGACGTGGGATGCGCGCAGCTCCTCGCCCTCCTTGCGCGTGACGGTCCGCCCTGCGTAGTGACGAGCGACAAACGCTTTGAAGACGCGAGTACACTCCAGGTCGGTGCGGAAGATGCCTTCCTCTTGGTTGACCGGGTTGAGGATCCGGCCAACCACGTGCATGGCACACGCCATGCTATGGTCCCAGCGCTTTTGGACGATGTTGGTCACCTCCGTGCGTTCACTGCTGGACAGCACCAATCCCACCTCCTCCTCCTCCAGCTTCGCATTGATGTCTTCCGTGAGCTGCAGCATCAGATCGTACATCCTGCCCATCATGCCCTTGGCCGTCGAGTCGGTCTTGCGCATGACGACAAAGGGGATCTTCAGGAGGGCGACGAAGAACTCCGCACCTTTCCACCACACGGCATCCATGATCATGGTTTCGAAGGGCTCGACCGGCGGCTTCCTCCCCTTCGCCCAAGCCTGCCACTCCGGGCTCAGCACCATCTGCGTCAATGCACTCCGCACCTCGCAAAGCCGCTGCACCGCGATGAATTGCGTGCCAAATCTGGTGCCCGCCGGCTTCAGCACCTGCTTCCCCTTCCCTCCCTTCACCTGCGGGCTTCGCATGTAACCTTTGGTGAAATGGTGGGCACGCACAAAGGTAATAATCACCCCCGCCTTAGCCACAATGTCCTTCGTCCAATCCATTTTCCCAACGTCCTCCATGAGCAGATCCATGATGTGAGTAGCGCACGGCACATGCTCAATGTGAGGATACTCAAGCATGAGTTCCCTACATGCAACCGCATAATTGCTGCCCCCATCCATGCATAACGCAACTATGTTGGCGGGCCCCACCTTCTCAATGATCGGGCGCAAAACGGATGCAATGTAACCTCCCATCTTCGTCTCCAACTTACAGTCGATGCCTTCGGTGAACATTGCACCGGAATCGTTGATGAGCATGATGTTGGCTTGGGGACGGCCACTTTTGTCCGTCATCATGTCCGAGCCTATCGTCACGCCATCCCGCTTCCAGCTCGCAGTGATGGGAGCGAGCCCCCTCTCGATCTTTTCGCAGCAGCGCGCAAGGCCGGCGCCACCAACATACCGCCGCTTCGGGGGAACGTAGCTATGGCCCGCGTCTGTGATGCAGCGCACAGCGTTGCGCCAGAGAGGGTGATCGGCGAGATGCTCCGGGAGGTGAAGTGCCGCCCACATGAGGCAGATGGCGGCGTCGTCTGCCGATTCCTTCGCACACGACGCCCCTTCCCCGTAGAAGTCTTCGATGCACTGCTTCTTCGCTCCACCCGCACACGCCTCGATCGCCATATCCTCCGCCTTCTTCTTCCCTTCCCTGCGGGCGTGTTTGCCTTCGTACAATTCGCGGACGGCGCCGCGGTCAGCAGAAGGGATAGGCGCCTTGCAAAGACGGACGTCCTTCCGTTTCAGCCCTTTCCAGCGCGTGATGTGTTGCGCGCAACGGAAGGCGCCCCCTACGAACTTAAGCTTGCAGTGCCGGCATATGCGGAGAGTACGCTCAGGACCATTCGAGGTACCTTCGGTAGAGGTAAGGAAATGCTTAAAAATAACATGGGTGTTCACATGAACATCCTCGTCGTCCGCCATGGTCGCGTCATTCGAAACACTAGGAGCCTCACTAGTGGCACTTGCGGGAGTACCAGAAGGAGTCGACATCAAGTGCACGTGAGCGGGAGTGTTGAGAGAGAATGAACGAGGAGAGAGATAATACAGATGACGGGAATGAGAGCTTACCTTATAGTCCAGGATGTGGTTGAGCCACCTACGCTGGTTGACGACATTCGTGTTTGTGTGTTGGAGTCGCGCGATAGCATAGGGTGCAGTGCGGTTCAATTTTTCCCACGTCCCCACATTTTGACAGGTGTGGGTGACAATGTGGTTGGGACGTGCGTACAAATTGGGATGGGACGTGCGTACATTTTGAGTCGCGTCGCACATTCGCAATTCGTGCGCGACTATTGAAATCTGGTTTTTTTTCGGGTCAGCCCGAACTTTCGCCAACGAATATACGTACGACTTGCGTACACCGTATATTCGTAAACGACTATACGGAGTGCGCTTATGGTTTTTGGCGACTTTTCCAACATAGCTGCCTGCCACGCTGCCTGCCACACTCCCTCCCTGCCACGCTGCCGTGCCTCCACTTCCACCTCCTGCTGCAGGCGCTCCTGAGGAAAGGGGAAGAGGCAAGGGGGAAGAAGAAGCAAAGAGCTCTCATGGGATAATCCTGTGACTGCTGCTGCCTACTCTTTCCCATCCACCGAATACAGCAGAGCAAGTCGTCTTCCAGCCTATGATGCGAAAGACGCGTCCTGCGTCCTGGACGCATGCGTCCGGACGCAGGACGCTTCACCAGGACCAGAAAGACGCACCAAAAGACGCAGTCCCGGGCAGGCAAAAAAAAACCCCCGGGCAGGCAAAAAAACTTGTTATAGGGCATGGGATGAGGGGGGGGGGGGGGGGGGGGGGAACGTTCCACACTTTCAAGGCAAACTTGGCCCCAACATCAAATTTTCCCCCAAATCTCAAGATTAAGGTGAGTCACGTATTGTCACACACATGTCCCAAGGTCACATACACAGTTCATCGTATCACCGAAGAACACGCAAACTATTAAACTACCACCACAGCACTGCATGCAGGCAACCAGTCATCTCATCCCATTAAATATGGTGTTTGGGCTTTTGCGGTTTCTTCTCCACCCCATCACTAGTGAAACGCTGCGGGGGAGACTCGTCCTCGGCATGAACATCCCTAGATGCGTTAGATGACGTAGGGTTGCTTGAGGAAGCCATAATGGAGCTAAGCTATGCTTGTAGGCTAAAACCTCTAGGGTTTTCGAAAGGGAATTGGTTGGGTGGGTGAAATGAGAAATGACTTGGTTGGATTGCTAAATGGGCTTGGTGGTAGGCACCTTGGTTGGGTTTTCTAGATGTGAAGTGGTTGAGAGGTATTTGGAATTCAATTGTTGCATGGGGGGTTGTGAAATGTTGGGGGGGGGCTGTTTTTCAATGTCGAATTGGGCAATGGGGGGTCAACATTTCGCGATTTCGACAGTCGCGTCGAAATCGCGAGATTGAAATTCGTAATCTGGAAAAAAAAAAAAAATCGGGGCAGCCCGAAAAAATTTCGATCTGCGTCCTCTGAGCGTCTTTCGCATCATAGCTTCCAGCATTTCTACCTGCACCCCACACTACAGATGTGCGTGAGCTAGCTTTGTTTAATAATATATAAGAGTATATATACATATTAGACTACACACTGCAGATGATTACTGTACCTGAGTAATGTACTCCTTCCCATTGAGGGAGTACAGGAGGTCGTCCCCCAGCAGCCCCATGGCAGTGAGATTGGTGTAGAAAATAGCATGTACACAGTGTACATGTATGATAATACATAACTACTGTACCTGCGTGATGTACTCCTTCCTTCCCATTGAGCGAGTAGAGCAAGTCATCTCCCAGCAGCCCCATGGCGGTGAGCTTGGACACCAGCTCCACCACATTCCGCTCCGACAGCCGCGTCGGCTCAAAAGTCCATGGATGGGTACTGTCTGTACCTGTGTGATGTACTCTTTGCCGTTGAGCGAGTAGAGCAAGTCATCTCCCAGCAGCCCCATGGCAGTGAGCTTGGACACCAGCTCCACCACGTTCCTCTCCGACAGCCTGGTCGCTGCTTTCACCTCCTGAGCCGCCTGGAACTGCTGCTGCAGCAGCAACAGCTCCTCGTCCATCTGCCATTGTGTAGTGTTTGGGACAAGGAACGGGCGGCAATGAGGCATGCGTGCAAGCACACCAGCCGCCTTCACCTCCTGGGCCGCCTGAAACTGCTGCTGCAGTAGCAACAGCTCCTCGTCCATCTGCTTCCGACAAGGACGAACCGTATTCGGGACAAGGAACGGGGGGCAATGCGGTATGAGAGTGCAAGGAGACTAGCGGGATTCGATTCTTGAGCCGCGTGAAACTGCGGCTGCAGCAACGACAATCCTTGGTTCATCCGATGTCGAATGGAGGAGCAGGAACACAGAAAGACCAGTCGCCACAAGTGTATGTACTTCTACCCACGTAATCTACCAATACAGTCATACAAGTGTATGTAGTTATATACACAAGCATCTACCAATACTTCGAAAAAAAGTTTAAATAAACTAGCAAGCAGGCCTGCTCCCAGTAGCAGCTTTCTTTTGGTTCAAGTGCTAACATCTCACCTTAATGGATCGCAAGGCGAGTTTTGAGGCCCCTAAAAAAGGAGTATTAGCTGTCTTTTGCTTGAACTATTTGCTACCATCTCACCTTAACGAATCTCAAGGAGGTCGCAGACTAGGTTCGAGACAGTAGGAGGCCTCGTGGTACTGAAATTGTCAGCCTGACGGCCTGGCAGATGGAACGGGAAGAATGGAGCAGGGAGGGGGGGAGGGAGGACGGGGAGAGGAGGCCACGTGGCACTCAAAATGGAAACCTGACGGGCTGGTAGATGGAAGAGGAAGAATGGAGCCGGGGGGGGGGGGGGGGGGGGGGGGGGGGGGAGAGGACGGGGAGAGGAGACCACGTGGCACTCAGACAGGCAGGCTGGCAGCCGGACAGATGGAGAAGGAAGAGGAGAGGGGGAGAGGTTGGTGGGAGGGGGGGGGGGGGGAAGTTTGGGGGGAGAGGTTGGTGGGCGGGGGGTTAGAGGAATTGATACGGAGGGGAGGCGGCATGTAACAGTTTGATTGTTCCGCAACTGGCTGTAACTGCTGTTGACACGGATGTCTTTTGAGTGGACTCAAAAGTCAACGCTGTAACTGTCGACACGGATCTCGTGGAATCACGGGGATCGTAGGTGCTCTCTGCCCATCCCGCTAGCAGCACCAACAGAGCTGGCGGAACCTAGGAGGGACGGGAAAACGCCAAATGTGACGACGGGAACGGATGGGGGGAAGGTGACGGGGGAACGGGACAGGGGAGGCGGATTGCGATGGGGGGGGGGGGTGGGGGGAGGAGAACGTGACCTTCCTTGGGTCACGCCAAATGCCGGCCTATATTAGCCACTTCAAAATTCGCCGAATGCCAGTGCGCGGGACGCATCGGCGACAATTCCTGGAATGGACGCGTTAGAGACTGCGTGCGATTCCGTGACACTGCCAGCAGAGATTTGAACGGAAGAGTCGCCGGAAAATGCGGCGCGACTACCTCGTAACGAATTTCGGTGCAATGATATGTTACGCTAGTTCCTCGGTGCATCTTCTCGAAATGCAAGGGTCGGCTTATCTACCTATACTTAACAGCCGAATGTGCAAGAAGGCCGCCTAGGGCTTACCTTAGGAGGTGATTGATGAGGATGTAATGTGCAGATTTGGAATGTGTCAGGAGCCACAGCCAGCGAGTGATCAGGCCACCCAGCCATATGTCATGTGTCGTCGCTACAAGAGTAACAGCTACAGCAAAATGGATTGTTTATGTAACGTAGATCCTTTTACATTTATGCGGCACAATCTGTATAATACACAGCTGGTACAAGCTTCAAAACCATTAAAAAAAAAAGCGAACAAACGAATCCGAGAAGTTATGTAAGTAATCAAAGCATACAGAAGTGCACACGAGGACGCAGACTGGGCTTATACGAGATCGAAATTTCATTATGTTCCATTCGCCATGCCTAATATCGAACACATAAAGAGTTGGACTTGTCATGTCAGGTGTTGCGAATATGTTTTTACGGAGATGCAGTGCACTGTTCGAAGTGCAGAAGCGAGCACCTCAGTATCAAGTATATTGACTCAAAGTTCCGAGCTGCAGGGGCGCATCCGCGTAAAGTAGTTGCGCCCCGCGTGGCAGCTGAAGGGTCAGATTTGGGCAGGAGGCAGTATCTACAAGACGCGAAACTGCCCCGGGGGGTGCAGTAGAATACCGCGCCCTTGCCGAAGCTGAAGGGTCTCGCCAGCTCGACAATAACTGGGCAACCGAAACGTTACAGCGCAACTGTAATACAGTAGGGCCTTGGTAACTGCCTGCCTGCTATGACTCCTATATAACTGAATGTATTGCATTATTCTTATTCCACAATTCTCATCCTTGTGTCCGGCCTACCCTCGGCCGCCGCTCTGGCACCAAGTTACAAGCCACGAGAGCTACCTCTGAGGGACCATTGCCCCACCGTAGGGACGTCGTTATTTCCTAGAGTATTTCCGCTACTCTAGCCACCTCTTAATTTCAACATCCGGAATGCAAATACATCAATTTAGCATAAAAATGGCATACACAATGACACAACTATGGTCCTACTCACACAGCGGATGGCATGTGGCACCTGCATAACACACCTACTACTGGTACTGATACACCCTTCAGATATCAACTACCTCTTTGCACTGAAGCACAAAAAAACTGGAAGCTTCAGATGCTTGAAACTCCTCAGAAGTTCCAGAGGGCGCGCTTGGCCTCTCCCTCCCGTCCAACCACCTCCTGCTTAGATGCAACGGTGGGATTACTGCATCCAGGAACGAAAGCACCACCTTCAGAAGTTTTTGAGGACGCGCTTGCCCTCGCGGACGCCGGAGAGCAGGGCGCCGTGCACGGTGGCCTGGTACTGCCAGATGGTGTGCTCCCCCGCAAACAGCACCCTCCCCTCGGGCAGCGCCATCACATCATAGTCCGTGCAGTGATCCTCGTTCCCCCGCACGCCCACGCGCGCATAGCTGTACGCCCCCCGCGAATACGGTTCGGCGGTCCAGCGCTGGATCCAAGTCGCCAGTGCTTCCACGGGCTTCTTGCGATACTGCGGGAACATGCGCGCCATCTTTGCCTTGGCGTCGTTAATCACCTCCTCATCACTCATCGTAGCCATCCGCTCCGCATACTCCCCCAGAGCCACACCTTCCAATGCCGTCTGTCCCCACGCGCGCTTCAGGTTCACCCAGTCAACCCACCGCCCACGATTCGCGGGCAGCTGCGCATCCTCGATGAAATATTCGTCCACGTTGACCGGCCAGAAGGTCTGGTTGAAGAAGAAGAAGATCTTGGCGATTGCGCCCACTCCCAGGCGGGCTATGGCGCCGGTTTTACGGGGGGGGAGCGACGGAGAGAAGGCGATGGTGTTGGCCTTGAGCACGCCGAGAGGGATTGTGACGATCACCACGTCGGCGTCCAGCGTGGTAATGGCATCGGTGGCGGTGTCCTTTCCAGTGATTTGAACGCCAGTGGAGGACTGTGAGATGGCAGTTACTTCAAAGTTGAGGGTTAGAACAGCGCCTGCCGCCACTGCTTCCTGTGATGTGTACGGGTTATGGGTGGGTGGGGGAAGGTGGGGGGTGTGGTGTGGTGGGAGAGAGGAGAGGAGAAGAGAGGAGACGAGAGGGGCGGAGAATGCATGGGAATCTTGGGGATCTTGTCATAAGTGTAGGTGACCCCATGGTGGGCGGCTTGTTGAGGTCTCAAGGGCTCAACAATGATACGCACAAGCCCTTGAACTCCCCATTGCCTTCCCACCCGAGGCATGCTTTCTTCCCATCCCCCACACCTCCATCATCGTGGATATCTTGTCCTATCTGTTGATACCCACCAGTCTGATCTTTGGGCCTCTCAATACTCCCGCTTTCCTCCCCGCCACCCCAGCCACACATCCCCCATCCCCCACCTGCCATTGCTAACCACCTGACATCTGGCCCTTAGACAATCTCCCTCGTTCCCTTCCACCTGACATCTGGCCCTTAGACAATCTCCCTCGTTCCCTTCCACCTGACATCTGGCCCTTAGACAATCTCCCTCGTTCCCTTCCACCTGACATCTGGCCCTTAGACAATCTCCCTCGTTCCCTTCACTCCCCAACCAAACCATCCCCCCGCTTGCATGAGCATTTGGGGGATCATGTCAAAGCCAGTGGTAACCACCAGCCTGATCTCTGGGCCTCTCAGGACAACCCCCCCTCTCCCCACCCTATACCCCCTTCTCTTCCTCCCCCCTCACCTGCATGAGCATCTTGGGGATGTTGTCGTAGCCGTTGGTAACCACCACAGTGGGTGGCTTGAAGGCGAGCGAGTCAAAGTACCAAGCAGAGAGGCGCGAGAGAGGGGCGGCAAAGTCAAACTCAAAGTCCACTGAGAGGCGCGACTGTAATAGGAATGGGAAAGGGTGCAGTGAAACGCAATAGACGAATGTCAGGTCATGGGTTGTGAGACAGGAAAAGGGGCGGCTTGAAGGCGAGTGAGTAAAAGTACCAAGCAGAGAGGCGTGACTGGCGGTGGATGGGAAGGGGAGCAGGGAAATGCGATGTGAAGCTGTTGGTAAGTTGGTAACCACTGGAGTGGTTAACGATGAGCGAGTCAAAGTACCAAGCAGAGAGGCGCGAGAGAGGGGCGGCAAAGTCAAGCTCAAAGGCCACTGAGAGGCGCGACTGCGAGTGGATGGGGAAGACAGGAAGAATATGGAGATGTAATGGATTGTGCAACCAGAGAGAGGCCGGGCGCTGTTGAACGCAAAGGCCACTGAGAGGCGCGACTGCGAGTGGATGGGTATGGTATGGGTGCAGGGAAATGCGATGTGAAGCTGTTTGTAAGTTGGTAACCACTGGAGTGGTTAACGATGAGTGAGTCACAGTACCACCCAGAGAGGCGCGAGGGAGTCAAACGCGACTGAGAGGCACGACTGAGAGGCGCAGCTGAGAGGCGCAGCTGAGAGGCGCAGCTGAGAGGCGCAGCTGAGAGGCGCAGCTGAGAGGCGCAGCTGAGAGGCGCAGCTGAGAGGCGCAGCTGAGAGGCGCAGCTGAGAGGCGCAGCTGAGAGGCGCGACTTTTAGTTTTTTTACCGGAAGGGGAGCATGAAGATGCAATGCAAGATGATCACATGATAGATTGTGAGAGGGGAAAGGGGATCGCCGACGCTGAACTCAATAGGCCTCTGACAGATGCCAACTGCCAGTGCATGGCAACGAATGTAGTGGAAAGGTAAGTTCAGTGAACATTAGACATTTGGGGGCTGCAGCATTCTTGCACGTCATGCCACGGAAGTGACATGGCATCTAAGCAACAAATCCAACCCCTTCCCCCTTTTTCCCTTCTTACGGTAAGTTCGAATGCTGCCATGCCCCGTTGTATTCATCCTGTTCCCCATTCCCACTCCCTTCGCTACCTGCACGCACTCTCTCCCTCCCCCTGCCCTTTCTTTTCCCCTGCTCCGCCTCCCACCCCCAACCCCCCCACTACCTGCACATATGGCTTGAGGAACAACACTCGCAGCTTCCACGGCCACTGCTGCAGGCTCACCTCCGTGCCTTGCTTGCTCATGCACGCCAAACCCTGCCAGACCCACCCATACCTTGCTTGCCCCAATCTCTCCCCTCCCCTGTCCCCTCGCTCCCCACTCCCCTCCCCACTCCAGGAATGACAGGCCGCTATAGGTCTTCCAGCAGGGATTTTTTTATGGATCTTCAATAAAACGTAGAAGGCAGGTACCTTCCAGCCGTTAGTGGGCTTATTGAAAAAAGAAGTCCAAATCCGTTTAGGTAGAAGCGGCTCATAGTCGGAATGAATAGAATGAAGGCCTTGCAGGATGTCTTTAATCGGGACTGTAGAGTATTCGCGGTAGACTTTATTATTAAGAAGATGTTTAAAACATTGGTCTTGATAAAAGTCCCTGCTCATCACTGTTAGTCCGAGGTTTTTATCTGCAGGCTTAAAAATGAGGTTAGGATTGCTAGCAAGGCGACGGAGAACGGGAACATAGTTCTTTCGGGGATGTCTCTGATACGGTCGTCCGCAGATGTCCTTAATAACCGAGTCTTTAAAAACCGCTAGGGCTGTTTCGATCTCGGCTGAGGCTGGCGGTGGATTCCAATTCGTTCTCCTTGGGAATTTATAGCCTGGATAATCAGAGACGAGATTAGATCCTCCGAAAAGATACATGGTTCGAATGCTCCTAATGAAAGAAACAAGCTCCTCGTCTACGCTAGCAATGGATCGGATGGATGGAGTTGGGATGAATTTGAAACCGAGGCTCAAAAGGTTTAGTTCGTCACGGGTGAAGACATGATCACTGAAGTTGTGAATTCCGCGGTTCGTCACACGGCAACGCAGCTGATTCTCAGTTTGTCGGCCGAAGATGATCAGTGCGTAAGCGTGGACGTCGTTGATTACTGTCGAGCAGTTACGCCGCGGCCGGAACCTCCCCCGTTTTTTGCCGGAGAGGTCTTCTTCGTCGGGTGATTCACGCTGCGTCCTGCAGCCTTCGTGAAAGCGCGACCAGAATGGTTAGTAGACCCATTCTTGCGCTTCTTCCCATTGGTCGGTTTCTTAGCAGCAGCGGTGTTCGGCTTCTTAGCAGCATTGACGGCAAAAGGCTTCCGGTTATTCTTAACCGGGAAAGTCTTCTTCTGCTTCGTCTGCTTCACCTGTTTCTGCTTCATGTTCTTCTTCTTGTCATTGTTGTTAGCAGCGTTGTTAGCAGCGTTGTTAGCAGCGGCACGGCGGTGATGAGGAGGAGGAGTAAACTTGAGCTTAGCAACAGCCTTCGCAACCTCCTGTTTGGCGATCTCACGAACGGAGGGATCAACAGGCAGATTCTCGGCTTCCTCAGCAGCAGCAGCCTTTTTCTCATCAATCTCCTTCTTCTGCTCCTTCACATGAATTTCCGAAAGGTTAGTCTCCATCACAAAAACCGACATAGCGTCCTTAAACTCAGAAATCACGCGATCCTTAAAAAAAGTAAGGTTGTCAGTCAGCTTCGAGTTTTTGGTGCCGATGTCAGTCTTCTTAGCAAGGTTGATGTAGTTCGCGATCTGATCCTGAAGACGCTGGTAAACAGCAGCAGTATCATTGCGTGCCTGCTCAGCAGCTTTCTTCTTCATTGAAATCAGAACGTCCTGTGCTCCCTTGCAGTAGTTCAAACAGGCGGCTTGGAGTTCCTTATCGGCTTCCTGACGGAGTTCTTCGGAGTGGCAGACGAAAGCGAAAGGCTTGATCCGAATACTATGGGGAATGATCCCGTTAGTTTTCTGCTCCTCCATAAAGGTGTACTGCAGGCTCAGAGTCCGGTATTTCAGGAAATTCTTCTTGAAATCCTTAACAGCTTGCAGCTTAAAATCCTCAAGGCAGGTAGGCGTCGCCTGCTTTTCAAGGAAAAGGTTGTTAATGTCACCAAGAAAATCGAACGAATCCAGCATGACAGTGTCGTGGATCTGATGAGCAGACTCTTGTCGCAGCGTCGCCATGGTTGCAGATTCAGGTTCCTTCGAAGGCCTTTCAGCGGGCTCAACGGCAGGTCTGATAGCAGGGACGGTTGCTGCAGAAGTAGAAGCAGGGACTGAAGTGTCGCAGGCTTTTCTCTTGCTCGATCGAAAAGAAGGAGACTCTGAAATCTTCAGGACTCCAGCCAGCTCTTTATCATCACGGCTGGCTCTCGTGTTCTTGGACTTCGAGAGACGCGCGTGACGTTGAGCGTGGATAATCTTGGTGTTGTCTTGGTTTGCATTGGTGTTGGTTGCATTGGTTGCAACAAATGTGTAGTTGGCCATCGCAGTAGTATCAGGTATCAGCGGAAGTGGACACCAGTTAGGTGCCATTGCTTTAATACGTGGCAGCAACTTGGGTTCAACACCTGTAAAATGTCAGTAGTACTTTGTAAAAAATGCTTGTATAAAAATCACGGTGGTAACCGGTTTCGGCTAAAATGCCTTCTTCAGACCACAAGCGATCTACTGAACGCGTACTACTTTATATGCCTAGAAAATGTCATCCTAGACTCAGGCCCGCGCGGGAAATCTTCGCTGCGGCGAGTACGGGAACAACAGGCAAAAGCGAGATGAGAGAAAAAGTGTAACAGCAACAAAACTACTGTAGTCTAACACTTATTAGCAGAAATCAAATAACTGCCAACTCTCTTAGGTAATCTCCATGCGATTATAGCTCTCCTTGATGAAAAAATGTCGTGTGCCATAGTAACGAGGTGACTTTTGAGTCGACTCAAAAGTCACATCCAACGTCTCTCGCTGGCTTGACTCTGTTCTAAGACCCTTAGTGCTGGAGCAGACGACTTACGTTAAAGATTCTCAGAGCCTTATACTTCAGCTTGAGCAACGGCGTTTTTCGAACAACCTTTTCCTTGCCTCATATGACGTCGAATCTCTCTACCCCTCTATTCCTTTACTGGATGGCATTGACGCTGTTTCCTATTTTTTACAGAAAGCAAGACACCCTTTAGCCCCGTTAATCACCCGCCTACTTCGATGGGTTATGTTTAACAGCTATGTCTCTTTCAACGGCAGATTTTTCCGCCAAATCCACGGCACTGCTATGGGAACCTCAGTCGCAGTCTGCTTCGCGGTTCTTTTCATGAGTTTTTTGGACATTCAACTACACTCATCCATCCCTTCACCTCCTGCCCTCCACCTTCGTTTTATCGACGACGGTCTGATTTTATGGGAAGGGAGGCGGGAAGAATTTCAACGGCTGAAAGAGCGCTTCGACTCTCTTCACCCGTCAATTCGTCTGACCTGGGTCCTCTCTGAGTCCACCATGGACTTTTTGGATGTGACCTTTTTCAAGGGGGAACGCTTCAGCAAAACCGGAATTCTGGATGTGAAGCTGTTTCAAAAACCCATGAATCGGTACTTATACCTTCCTTTCAGGTCTTACCATACCCGTACAACCAAACAGGGTTTCATTCGCAGTGAACTTCATCGTTTCCTACTGCGCTCATCTTCTCGTACTGACTTTTACAACTCCCGCGCCCTCTTCTTTGCTCGGCTGCGAGCTCGAGGATACCCGGAGAGATTCCTTTTACCAATCTTCAAGTCAGTCTCGTTCGCCTCTCGGGGGGAATTTCTTTACCGTGCCTCTTCCATTCGCGATTCTCCTAAACGTGGCCCCCTTGTGCTGAAATCGCTTCTCAACCCCGCTGGTTGACCGTTCGCACATGGGGAAACTTTTGAGTCGACTCAAAAGTCACCTCGTTACTATGGCACACGACATTTTTTCATCAAGGAGAGCTATAATCGCATGGAGATTACCTAAGAGAGTTGGCAGTAATTTGATTTCTGCTAATAAGTGTTAGACTACAGTAGTTTTGTTGCTGTTACACTTTTTTCTCTCATCTCGCTTTTGCCTGTTGTTCCCGTACTCCGCCGCAGCGAAGATTTCCCGCGCGGGCCTGAGTCTAGGATGACATTTTCTAGGCATATAAAGTAGTACGCGTTCAGTAGATCGCTTGTGGTCTGAAGAAGGCATTTTAGCCGAAACCGGTTACCACCGTGATTTTTATACAAGCATTTTTTACAAAGTACTACTGACATTTTACAGGTGTTGAACCCAAGTTGCTGCCACGTATTAAAGCAATGGCACCTAACTGGTGTCCACTTCCCTCCCCTGTCCCCTCCCTCCCCACTCCCCTCCCCACTCCCCTTCCCACTCCCCTCCCCACTCCCCTCCCCACTCCCCTCCCCACTCCCCTTCCCACTCCCCTTCCCACTCCCCTTCCCACTCCCCTTACCCTTTCTCTTCCACCTTCCCCTCTTCCCTCACTCTCCCCGTACCCCTCTACCCTCCCACCCACCCTCAACCCCCCCACTACCTGCACATAGGGCTTGAGGAACACTCACCCATACCTTGCTCGCCCCAATCTCTCCGCTGCCCCCTCTACCCTCCCACAACCACACTACCTGCACATAGGGCTTGAGGAACACTCACCCATACCTTGCTCGCCCCAATCTCTCCGCTGCCCCCTCTACCCTCCCACAACCACACTACCTGCACATAGGGCTTGAGGAACACTCACCCATACCTTGCTCGCCCCAATCTCTCCGCTGCCCCCTCTACCCTCCCACAACCACACTACCTGCACATAGGGCTTGAGGAACACTCGCCGCTTCCATGGCCCGCTGGTGAACGCCTGCTGCAGGCTCACATCCTTGTCCTGTCTGTTCGCCCAGGACAAGCCTTGCCGTACCAACGTTTGATACTCCGCCTCCGCTGCCGACCACCCGGGATCCCTGTATCTCTTCCCCTTGGCTGTGAATTGTATTTCCCGCCCGTTCTGCCGCCCAATTCTAAGCTTGAATTTTCGAGCTAGGGCGGCAATAGGGTTACCTGGAGCAGGGGGAGCAGAAGGGCAGGGGCAGGGGGAGCAGAAGGGCAGGGGCAGGGGGAGAAGCACAGGGAAAGGGAAGGAGAAGCGGAAGTGGAGAGAAAGGGGAAAGGGTGAGAGCGAAAGGGAAGGAAAAGGGAGTTCTGTTGGAGAAAGGGCTGATGGAACGAGGGTTAAGAAGGGCGGTTACCAGCTTACCTCTGGCGATGGTAGGTGGGTTACGTGTTGTATGCAGTGGAAACCGGGTTACCCTGGCAGTGGTAACCACGTTACCTGTGCCTGGTGGTAACCAGGTTGCCCGTTGCCTGTTATGGTAACCTGGTTACGGTTACCTGTGGCGCCTTCGATCCACTGTGCGCCCATCTCGCCTCGCAGGAACGCAGTGGGCGAGCCGGCAGGGGCGGCCTCCGTTCGGCTCCACATGCGCCCCGCCCACCCTTCCGCGCGCCTCCACCACCGTCACCTGGGGGTGGGTGGAAGGGGGGAAAGGGGAGAAAGGAAAGAGATGAGAGACCACATGCAACAACAGCCCAGCCCACCCGACCGCGCGCCTCCACCACCGTCACCTGGGGGGAAGAGGGGGTAGGAGGTGGGGCAGGGGGTGGGGGTAGGTAGTAGAGATCAGAGGCCGATAGGGTCCAATTGCAACAGCCCCGCCCACCCTTCCGCGCCCGGCGCGCCTCCACCACCGTCAACTGGGAGAGAGGGGGGAAAGGGGGGAAAGGAAAGAGACGAGAGACCACATGCAACAACAGCCCAGCCCACCCTGCCGCACGCCTCCACCACCATCACCTGGGCTGGGAGGAAGGGGGAGGGGCGGGAAAGAAGAGGTGGGAAAGGGGACAAGGGGGAAGGGAGAAGGGGAAGAGATGAGAAGATCTGCCTGCCGCGCGCCTCCACCACCGTCACCTGGGGGGTGGGAGTGGGGGAAGGGGGAAAAAGAAAGGTGGGGAAGGGCGACAAGGAAGGGACAAGAGGATGAGATGAGAAGGCCTGCCGCGTGGCCCCACCACCGTCAACTCGGGGGGGGTGGGTTGAGCGGGGAAAGAGGAGCAGGGGCGAAGGGAACGAGGCGAGGGGAACGGATGGTCAAAGCCGCTGCACGAAGGAAGGACACACAGGAAAAAGAAGCGCATAGTGCGAGATTATATACAGAAACGTCAATGAACGTTTCAATAAACGTGTCAATATATTCGTGAAACGAAAGCGTTTATCGTGAAAGGCCCGACCTCAGCATTCACCTTGCACGGCCTTCAAGTGTTACCTTGAAGCATTCGCCGTTGGTGGCGGTGACGATGCGGTAAGCAGCCGAAACGCCCGACATCCCCGCGCCCACCACCACCACCTGCCGCACCGATGAGCACGCCGCGTCCGCCGTTAGCGGCACGAGCAGCGCAGCGAGCAGCAGCAGCAGCGGCACGATAAGCGGAAGAGCACAGCCCGGTTGCCGTCTACCGTGGTGACCATGAGAGCATTGTTCCCTGCAGCGTCTAGGCCGAAAGCCGCGTTGCACCGATCTCAAGCGTTGCCGTCGCTGCATTGGCATTTAAGTTGAACGTATCGGGGCAAAAGTTTAGGGTGATGCTGGCGACGAATGGGAGAAGAACGAGAAATTGGATGGGAGGGGGGAAACGCTGGAAACTGCCCGAACGAGCGCCGAGGAAGGCGATTTGGAGTGATTGTCGAAGTTAGCAAGGAATTTAAACGGGGAACGGAATAGTAGTAGAGCGTAAAGTCGTTGGGGATAGCGGGCGGAATGCTAGGCCTGAGACGCGAGGGGACCTAGGGAACGAGAGGCTCTGCCTTGGGAGTGCAAGTTCGCGCCGACTTTAAATTTGCATGGTGCAAGTGCATTTTCTGGAAATTGTGACTGATAAATGGCCACTGGTTCACGAAACCGTAAGTCTCTCGCATCGACCACCGCAAGGTTTCCCTAAAGCTTGGCTTTTCCATTCTGCCCTGCTTGTTCCCAAACACCTCAGCGCCTTGCTCTCAATCTACCATCCACCCCAGATAAAAATTGAAGTTGGGTTGGGAGATCCTTTCTTGACCCACTACTACCATCATTTAATATGGTTGAGAGCGGTTTATTAGGAATTAACCGTGGCAGTCCGCACTTCTGTAGGGGCACTAATTACAACTGCGGCTGTAAGATGAAGCGGAAAGCATGCAGCATTTTGTGGATTGGGTTGGGGTTGGCGATTTGCCACCAACATTCTTCAAATTTCAAGCACACCTCTTGCCTCGCCCCCTTGACAGTTTGTCCAGGAACCAGGCTCTTATCTCTCAAAAACCCTGGGACTATACGCGATATCGCACTGTACCACTCTCGACAGCCTCGTCTGCTGGGGAACTATCAAGCCCGTGTCGGCTCGGCATGGCAGGATGTGGTTGGTTGACGTGTCTGATCTGAGCAGGCACGCAAGCTTTCGCCACCTCGTTACACGGTCGCGCAGCCATCACCCGCGACGACAAACGAAGTTCGTTTACACTATCATGGTACACGCATGTTACTGTAGTGTGACTGTCCTGCCTAAAGCGCAATTTGGTGAACGCTACAAGAAAGATTTCACTTAGTAAACTGATCTCAGCACCCCAACTCACCATTTCTCAGTTGTCCCAAGATGGGTGTACATAATTGCGGAGAGTCCCTATTTTATACCCATGATGTACACTTGAAAGACATCTGATCTGTACGTTCTGTAACAGGCACGTGACTCCCGTCTCATTAGTGCCTTACAGGCTGGACAGTTCCTAGGACAGGCTGAACAAATGCATGTGATTGGTTGCAGCAGGGAGGCAATCATTGGCTGCCCTCGGCCTCCTCCAGCTTCTGCACATGGGCCTTGAGGGTGAAGATCAAATCGCGAGCAGGCGCCTGCACAGGGGAAGGAGAGGAGGTAAGGGGCTCAGCACCGAGTGTTACAAAATATATTCATGATTCGGAAAACCTTGCGTTTCTGCACGTGACACAAGCATCTCACACGACTTGCATCCCTCTCAGCAGCTAGGAGCACACTTTGTCCCGCCTGGGTTTGGACTTGAAGCTCCGAATACATTTGTGCGTTGGAAAGCTTTTGTTTTCTTGCATTCTGCGCCAAGCAAGCACAGCTGGCAGTGCCGAGCGACTTCACTTAAAATCCATACTTCCCAACACCCCCCCCCCCTCTCCACCCCTTTAGCCGATGGTTGCATGAGCCCCAGCAGCTTCGAGTACACCTCGGCACAGCTGGGCAACACCATGAGGCACTTACACATGCACGCACACTTGCGCACACACATGCACTACTCACACTTGGCAGTTGGAAACCACGTCTCTGGCGGGCGAGTAAATAACCCCCAGCAGCTTCAAGTACACCTCGGCACGGCTGGCCGGGTAGCATCTCGAGCGCCTTTACTCAAACACCAAACCCGCCCCCCTCCACCTTCCCTCCCTCCAACCAGACATACATACACAAACGCAACTGCAAACACCTGAAGGGTCGAAACCACGTCTCTGGCAGGCGACTGCATGACCCCCAGCAAGCTTCGAGTACACCTCGGCACGGCTGGGCAGCGTTTTTTCCTTTTCACCTTCACTCAAAGACCAGATACCCCCCCCCCCCCCCCCCCCCCCCCCCCCCTTTTTCTCCCCACCTCCCTCCCACACCATCCCCAGCCCTCCTCCATCCTTCCATATGCATTCACACAAGCACAGGATGCACCTGGAGGGTCGACACCTCGGCACAGCTGGGCAGTGTTTTTTCCTTTACGCCTTCACTCAAAGACCAGATACCACCCACACCCACCCATCCCCCCCTCCCTCCTCCCCCACCCCAGCCCTCCTCCATCCTTCCATATGCATTCACACAAGCACAGTACGCACCTGGAGGGTGGAAACCACGTCTCTAGCGGGCGACTGCATGACGCCCAGCAGCTTCGAGTACACCTCAGCACGGCTGGGCAGCGTCTCAAGAGCGGCCATGTCTGCGGGGCTGTAGAACTTGCCCTCAAACACGGCGCCTGTGAAGTCGTTCTCCTCCAGCTTCAACTCCTTTCTGCAGATCCCTGAAAGGGGAAAAGGGGGGGGGGGGGGGGGGGGTTGGGGAGGGAGGGGGATGAGGAGAGGGAGGGGGAAGGCGGAAACATGCTGATAGCTGGTTGAGCGACTCTGGTGGAAATAGCTCAGAATGTGAAGTCGTTCTCCTCCAGCTTCAACTCCTTCTGCAGCTCCCTGGTGTGAGGGGGCGGGGGGGGGGGAGGAATTGGGGGGGGGAAGAGCAGGGGGAAAGGGGGAAAGTGGGGGGAAGGAGGTGGGAGGGGGGAGAGAGGCCGTCTCAAAATCAAGAGACGTCTCAAACGTTTGAAGGGTTGGAGCACGGGGGGGAAAGGGAGAGAAAAAGGGGGGGGGGGGGGGGGGGGGGGGGTGGGGTGGATGTCTTCAGTAGCTGTAAGGTGAGAGGTAATTGGAATACTAGTATCTCAACACCATCAGCGCAGGCGCAAGATTCTTGTGCACCTCATGGGTTTGAAAGCGCAAGGGATCTCCCTTTGAGAAATTTCAAAGACAAATGAAGAGTGACGGAATGTTCCCCCAGGGAAACAAGCGCCACGTATCGTTTGAGGAGCGCCAGGGGAACAATTTGGTACCTGAAGGGTACTTAATTTATCCGCTCTGTAAACATGTACCTGAAGGGCTTGAGCGCGGGAGGGGATCTCCTAGCCGTGCACGAAGAGAAGAGGCGTTCATGCCGGTCATGGCCGGCTTGAGTGCCTGTGGTTGTGACCCCCAGTGCGAGAGGCGAAACTGAATGCTCCCAGCGACTACTTGTATGTACCTGAAGGGCTTGAGAGCAGGCGGGATCTCCTCGCCAGTGGACGAAGAGAAAGGGCGTTCATGCCCGTCATGGCCGCTTGAGCGCCTCGAACTCCGTCCCCTCTATAGCCTTCTCCAGTAGCGAGTTCTTCATCACCACCAGCGACGTGCTCTCGGGAGCTTCCCCTTGCGAAGGTCCGACATCTGCTTGACCTGCGGAAGGGGGAGGCAGAAAGGAGGGGGGAGGGAAAGGGGACGGGTGGGAGGGGGGGGGGAAGGAGGGGGAGGAGGAAGAGGAGGAGGAGGAGGAGGAGGAGGAGGAGGAGGAGGAGGAGGAGGAGGAGGAGGAGGAGGAGGAGGAGGAGGAGGAGGAGGAGGAGGAGGAGGAGGAGGAGGAGGAGGAGGAGGAGGAGGAGGAGGAGGAGGAGGAGGAGGAGGAGGAGGAGGAGGAGGAGGAGGAGGAGGAGGAGGAGGAGGAGTGAACCGAGCGAAGCACCTATAAACCGAGGCAATTAGCTCTCATAACTGGCTGTCAGGTAAGAAGACGGGGATATGCTCGTGTGTGACCCGCGAACGCTATTTCAACGGCGCCTCGATTCACCATTCGCGGGTTAACGTCGCCACGGGAAACGCAGAGACAAGACACTCGTACGTGGCACCGGAATCGCTATCCGCAAGCTTCTTAGTTCCCTCTCGGCCCCCCCAACCCCCCTAGACTCCCCATGGACTCCCCCAGGACCCCCCTGGACTCCACCTGGGCTCTTCTAAACTCCCCCTAGGTTCCCCCTAAACTCCCCCTAGGTTGCCCCTAAACTCCCCCTAGGTTCCCCCTAAACTCCCCCTAGGTTCCCCCTAAACTCCCCATAGGCTCCCCCTGAACTCCCCCTAGGCTCCCCTCGGTTCGCCACGAAATATGCAGAGTCAGGGCGCTCGTACGTGGCACCGCGATCGCTATCCGCAAAATTCCCAGTTTCCCCTCGGTTCCCCTGAAACCCCCTGGACTCCCCCAGGGTTCTCCCTGGACTCCCCCTGTACTCCCCCCTAGGCTCTCCCCGGTTCGCCACGAAAAGCGCAGAGACAGGACGCTTGTACGCGGCACCGCGATCGCTATCCGCACGCCGTGCGAACGCCAGCACACCCCAAGATCCCCTCCGGCTGTTTTCCCGCTCCCCTCTCGGCTCCTTTCTACTCGACTCCCCCCTTCGGCTCCCCCCCTTCCGCCCCCCTATGCTCCCCCTCCGCTCCCCCTCTGCTCCCCCTCGACTCCCCCTTTCACTTCCGCTTTCGACTCTGCCAGTCCTCCATCAAATGAGTCCTCTAACCCTACCCTGCACCTTGGGAATCTGAGAATTCTTAGAGTGACGCGAGAAACGCCAGACGGGTTCACCTGCTACCATTGTCCTAGGCGCCAAAACTAGACCCTATCTGCTCCAAAACTAGACCCTATCTGCTCCATCAACTCGTGATTTTCGGTCCAGTCAATAATTAGCTCCGATTATCAGGCGCGAAAAATCGACTCTTATCTGCTGACTCAACTCCATCTGCGCTTCCTGCATCCTTTCCCCCTCGATTCGCCCTCAATCTCCCCACTCCCCCACAACTCAGTTTCAAAATATCCTTCGCTCCCCCTCCACTCTCCTCCCTCCGCTTCCCCCCACCTCGGCTACCCTCTTCCCCCCACGGCCCCCCTCATCCACCTCGGCTCCCTCCCTTTTGCACGCCGCCTCTCCCTCCGTTGCCGTCGATCTCTAGGCCACCAATCATGCGCAGCTGACGTGGCGCAATCTCGCACCATATCCATCCAGCCGCCCATTGCCAACTAATCTACTGAGCCCATCCTCAAACTAGCCGTTGACTTGAAATCATCTCCCTCAAAGCCGGCATCGCCAATACGCTCCCTTCTAAACCCTAATCGCTGGAAGCCGCGTCTCTATCGTCGGCCGAATTGCATGTCCCTCTCAACATCGACGGTCACGATTCATCGTTCCGCTTTGGTCAGCCGTTGGTTCGCAACGACCGCATTGACCGTTCACGGTGCATTCCGCTCCTTGCAAGACAATACACCGTGAAACTAGTCTCTCGTTGATGCTGGCGACGACTTCGTATCTTTCTAGTTTCTGTTGTTTCAGCTCAACTTTAACAACCATGTCTAACGAAAAACATGGCGAAACGGGTTACCGTGAATCGCTTGTAGTTGATGCTGGCGACGAGGTTGCAGTTCTCGAGCTGCTGGCGGGCCTTCTCGACCGTCTGCTCCTTCTTCTTGCGAGAAATGGCCATCTCGACCTGACACACGGAAGTAAAGAATGCATTGAACACAGATGTCACGACGCGTCAATCTGGCTTCGTTACGTCCGTGACCTTCTCCGCCGTATGCGCATTCAATTCGCGAGGAACTATCATCTCGACGTAAACGCACACAGGGAAATCCGAGTGCGAGAACAAGGAGTTGCGTCCACAATGTGAGGAGAAGTGAGTGACTCGAGATGTGGGGTGGAATATCATCATCCACAATGTGAGAAACGGTGGAATCTTAGGCTGAGAGAGTCGACTGAAGGACAGCCATGCCTGGTCTCGAGTTGGGTGGGGGAAAGACCAGGCGGGCAGAAGGTCACAGCATATGATGCATCGAACTTGATAACAAGGACAATGCACGTTAGGCTTTGAGACGTCCCAAAACAGATTTTAACGAGAGAACAAGAACAATGCTGGTTGTCTAAAAGTGGGTGATGTCATTCCACATGCCCAGAAAGGTCAAAGACTCTCCTTTGCGTGGCCGGTTTAGACCAAGGATTCCTGACCTTGGGCATTCTAGCGCAGACGGCGCCATCTCTCCTGGCGGGAAGGCTCAAGGACGTCCGGCTTCCCCAAAACTCGCTGTTAGCCAGAACATTCCAGAGGAACAGAGCACAACGGCCGAGGAACAACGCGTTATCAGTAACGTGCTATGCGAAGCCAAATAGGCGGGAAAGCCGATATGGATAAGAGTTAGGGTTGACTGAACACTAGGGCTGTACAATACAGCGAAAAAAAGCCTAGTTAGGAAATGAAACACGAGCTGTAAGTGGAGGTTAACCGAGGGACGTGCCTGGAGGTCTTATCGAGCGACGCGCTAGGGGCCGCGGTGAGAGGAGTCAGAGCGACAGATTGAAGGGCAGCCATGGTGGCGAAACCTAATTCGGGGTACGTCTGGAAACGACTAAGTCCGACTGCCCTGAATGCGGTCGCTCTGGTGTCAGACCCCTAGAGAACAGAGGGAAGTGGTAAGTAGGCTACTTGACCAACAACTAAGAAAGCGGAGGGATTCGTAAGGGGTGAGAAGGGTGATGGAAAAGATATGGTAACCAGTACCCTGCGACAGTATCGAGGGGTAGATGTGCGCTTGACGGAAAGAAGGAATTTGTGATGTGACGAAAAGGGAGGGAATTTGTGCTTCGGAAGTGGTGTGGGGGATGTGTGCTGGCGCAGCCAGAAGCAGCCACGACGGATTGTGACTGTGTGACGGATAGGGTAGAAACGAGTTACATTTCGGGCTTCGCGTCTTGCCTTATATACAGTTAAATTTCACATATAAAAATATCTAAGGAAACAACATGGTGCTGTACTGTCAACCAATACGGCTGTAACGGGTATGGTGTATCTGAGGCTTTGCTGCGCTGGACACACACATCCCCTTGCCAAGGCATGGGGAAGCTGGGCGGGAACAGAACACTGAGGGACCTGAGGAAAATCAGAGAAAACCCAATTCAGTGGCCCCTTCGCGAATCGCGACATTCCCTGCGATCCAACTTCCCCGACATTCCCAGCCTGTTTCTACAATTTTCGCCACCCATGGTCCAGCTTGTTGGTTTGGTTTGGACGAACAAGGAAAGAGCACCATTCGGTTCGGTTCGGTCGGGATCGCGCACCATAGCAGGGGGCGAAATGGGTTACCGTGTGTTGTGCACGCAATTACGACCACATAAAAATTGCTCCCTTGTGTGCACACTTGCCCAATCGCTCTACTTCCCAACCAACAGAACCACTTGAACCGAGCGTCTGTCTGTGTCTCCCTGCAATTCCCAGATTTTCGACCAGCTTGCAAGCTTGTGGCGGCGTCCCGCGAACAGCATCCCTTTCGCTGCCTGCACCTCAGCGACTGTCTCATTTCCATCCGTTCCTCTCTAGGCCTACACCCCTGCCATTCTTCTCAGCGACGCGCCGTCGCAATGCCGTTGTCGCGCGTCAGCAATTCACGAAGACCTACTAGCCGCGCCGCCTCTCGTGCGAGTCCCGCCGCCTTCAAGGCGGCGCTACGGCTGCGATCTTCGCGATCGTCGCGATGGTCGTCTTCGTCGTCGCAGGGCCGCCATCACAATGCTCTGTCGCTTCTCGTGCCGCTGCTGCTGGCGGCGCTGCTCGTGCCGCGAGCGGCGGACGCGGCGTGCTCGCGCGTGCGGCAGGTGGTGGTGGTCGGCGCGGGCATGTCGGGCGTTTCGGCTGCTTACCGCATCGTCACTCACAGCGGCGGCGAATGCTTCAATGTACGTTCGACGGCCGTGCAAGATAAAATGCGGATAATCGGGGCGCTGTGCACGATGATCGCCTCAGCGTGACGGATTTGTTGACACGTTCGTTGACGTCTAAATTCATACGCGCATTCTATGCGCGTCTTTTTCTGTGTTTTATCCTTTCGTACAGCGGGTTCTGACCATCTGATTCCCGTGATTCTACCCTGATCCCCCTCCCTGCACCCCCCACCTCCCCTCAGGTACGGCAGGTCTTCTCATCTCCTTAATTTTCCCTTGCCCCTCCTTCCCTCCCCCTCTTTCCCTCTTTCGCCCTTTTTTCCTCCGCCCCCCTCCCCTCCCCTCAGGTGACTGTGGCGGAGGGGCGCGGCGGCAGGGTGGGCTGCGCTGTTGCCTTTGAACATTAGCCTCTGATCTCTTTCTCCCCCTTAACCCCCCCTTCTCCCCATTTCCAGGTGACGGTGGTGGAGGCGCGCGGCAGGTGGGCTACTGGAGCCTAACAGCCTCTCATCTCAGCTCTTCCTGTTCTCCTCTTCTCCCAGCACCCCCCTCCTCTCCAGGTGACCGTGCTGGATGCGTGCGGCAGGATGGGCTCTTGCCTTTTAGTTGGACCCTAACGGCCTCTTGTCTCTCCCCCACCCCCCTTCCCCCCCTCCCAGGTGACGGTGGTGGAGGCGCGCGGAAGGGTGGGCGGGGCTGTTGCAATTGGACCCTATCGGCCTCTGATCTCTACTAGCTACCCCCACCCCTGCCCCACCCCCTACCCCCTCTTCCCCCAGGTGACGGTGGTGGAGGCGCGCGGAAGGGTGGGCGGGCGCATGTGGAGCCGAACGGAGGCCGCCCCTGCCGGCTCGCCCACGACGTTCCTGCGAGGCGAGATGGGCGCACAGTGGATCGAGGGCGCCACAGGTAACCTGGTTACCACCACCAGACTCCAATCTCCCCCACACTCCAAACTTCCCCACACTTCAAACCTTCCCACACTCTCCAAACTGAGCGTTCCTCACCAATCCCTTGCCACTTCCTTTCTCCTCCTGCTGCCCTCTTCCCTCCCTTCTCCATTCCACTTTCTCCTGCCTTTCTTCTTCCTCTTCCCTTTCCCCTTCCACTTCCACTTCCCCTTCCCCTTCCCCCTTCCCCTTCCCCTTCCCTTCCACTTCCTCCACTTCGCCTTCCCCTTCCCCCTCCCTCTCCCCTTCCGCCTTCCCTTTCCCCTTCCACTTCCGCCCTCCCCTTCCCCTTCCCCTTCCGCCTCTCGTTCCCCTTCCGCCTTCTTTTCCTCTTCCCTGTGCTGCTCCTTTGCCCGTCTGCCCCTCCTGCCTCAGGTAACCCGGTAACCACTCTGGCTCGGAAATTCAAGCTCAACATTGCGCAGCAGAACGGGGGGAAATCCAATTCACAGCCAAGGGGAGGAGGTACGGGGACGCGGAGTGGGCGGCAGCGGAGGCGGAGTATCAGACGTTAGTACGGCAAGCCTTGGCCTGGGCGGGCAAGCAGAACAAGGATGTGAGCCTGCAGCAGGCGTTCACTAGCGGGCCTTGGAAGCGAAAGATGTTCTACAAGCCCTATGCTCAGGTAATGCGAAGTAGGAGGGGAAGAAATGGATGTGGGAGAGAAGGAGGGAATGGGGAAGGGCAGGGGGAAGGGGAGGGGAAAGGGCAGAGGGAAGGATTGGGAGCGGGAAAGGGAGTGGCCCGAAGAATGGTGTGTGCGTGTGGCAAGGTTGACGGAAGGGGGGAGGGGAGGACTGGGGGAGAGATTGGGGTGGGGCAGGGTATGGGTGAGTGCAGGAAGGGCGGGCGAAGAGGGGGGGTGGAAGGTTGTTAAAGCCGGTTGTTTTTACATTCCTGTGGTGTTTCCCTCTCCCTCTCCTCGCCTAGCAGTGGACTACGAGTTCAACTTCGGCACGGCCCTCTCACACCCTCCTCATCCCCCCCCCCCCCCCCCCCCCCAGTGATTTCCCTTTCTCACCCTTGTCTCATATCTCCTGTTGTGTTTTCCTGTCCCCCGCCAGTCTCGCCTGGCGGTGGACTATGAGTTCAACTTCGGCACGGCCATCTCGCACGTCTCTCATACCCCCATCTGGGCATGTGGTTATCCTTGTCTCTCTCATATCCCTTCCGTTTCCCTGTCCCTCTCTGCACCGCAGTCCCGTCTCGCAGTGGACTACGAGTTCAACTTCGGCACGGCCCTCTCACACCCACCTCATACCACCATCCCCCCCCCCTCGTGATTACCCTTTTCTCACTCACCCCTTGTCTCATATCTCCTGTTGTGTTCACCTGTCCCTCCCCAGTCTCGCCTGGCAGTGGACTACGAGTTCAACTTCGGCACGGCCCTCTCGCACCTGTCAGCATGGTACTACGACTCCGATGCCTTCGACCCGCCCACCATGGTGGTTACCAACGGCTACGACAACATCCCCAAGATGCTCATGCAGGTGAGGTGGGGAGTTGGAGTGGGAGTGGGAGGGAGAGGGGCAGTGGGAGTGGGAGTGGGAGTGGGAGGGGGAGTGGGAGGGGGAGGGGGAGTGGGAGTAGGAGGGGGAGTGAGAAAGGGAGTGGGAGTGGGAGTGGTGGGAATGGGGCGTTCCACTCATCCGTCCAGACAGGTGTAGCTTGCAGGAGCTCGCCTCATTCCTTGTATCGTGCCCCACATTCCTCACCCACTCGTCTCCCATGCCCCACCCACCTACCTGTTTCCCATGCCCACCCACCCATCTCCCATACCCCACCCACCTACCCATCTCCCATACCCCATTCACCTACCCATCTCCCATAACCCACTCACCTACCCGTCTCCCATACCCCGCCCACTCATCTCCCACTCGTCTCCTGTCCCTCACCACTCGTCTCCCATGTCTTCATGTCGCACTTGTCCCACACATATCCCAACTGCCTGTCACAATTACGTTTTCTCTAACTCTTATTCCCACTCCAACTCTCTCACTCCCCCAAACCCCACTTCCACGCCCACCCATCGACTGACATCACAGGAAGCGCAAGGAAAAGGAGCAAAGCTGCTCCTCAACTTTGAAGTCACGGCCATCTCGCAGTCCTCCACAGGCGTGCAGATCACGGGAAAGAACACCGCCAGTGGCGCCACCGGCACGCTGGACGCCGACGTGGTGATCGTCACCATCCCTCTCGGGGTGCTCAAGGCCAACACCATCGCCTTCTCTCCGTCGCTCCCCCCCCGTAAAACCGGCGCCATAGCCCGCCTGGGAGTGGGCGCAATCGCCAAGATCTTCTTCTTCTTCAACCAGACCTTCTGGCCGGTCAACGTGGACGAATATTTCATCGAGGATGCGCAGCTGCCCGCAAATCGCGGGCGGTGGGTGGATTGGGTGAACCTGAAGCGCGCGTGGGGGCAGACGGCTTTGGAGGGAGTGGCTCTGGGGGAGTATGCGGTGAGAATGGCTACGATGAGCGATGAGGAGGTGATTAAAGACGCCAAGGCGAAGATGGCGCGCATGTTCCCGCAGTACCGCAAGAAGCCGCTTGAGCCACTGGCCACTTGGATCCAGCGCTGGACCGCCGAACCGTATTCGCGGGGGGCGTACAGCTATGCGCGCCGTGGGCGTGCGGGGGAACGAGGATCACTGCACGGACTATGATGTGATGGCGCTGCCCGAGGGGAGGGTGCTGTTTGCGGGGGAGCACACCATCTGGCAGTACCAGGCCACCGTGCACGGCGCCCTGCTCTCCGGCGTCCGCGAGGCCAAGCGCGTGCTCAGGAACTTCTGAGGGTGATGCCTTCGTTCTTGGATGCAGTAATCTCTCCGTTGCATCTAAAAAACTTCTGAATGTAACCCCATCCTGCCGCCAAAGCAGGAAGAGGCAGTTGGGCTTGAGAGAACGCAATGCTTTTATGCCTGTCTAGCTGCCTGCATTCCTTTGCTTTCTAGCGCTAATGAATTGGTTACGACCTACCTGTAATCCCCCATATGTGCTACCCTAGGTGTTGTGCTAAAACGGTTAAAAAAAAGGGTAAGAATTAGCATTGTCACACCAAATGCGTAAGCCCGTTACTATACATCACATTTGTTTATCATGCACCTCAGTATAAACTCACACCGCGCGATTTGCTTGGTGAACTTTCAGATCAGGAAGTCATACACCCATTGTTACGGGACTGTTTAGAAGACACTGCCTTAACTCGTACACACCTACAGATGTCTTATAATCAGGAACACCTATTTATAAGAGACACCCGCTTTAAGGACACCCCTGTCTTCTATTCAACACTGCCTTATATCGGGTGATGAGGGTAGGAAGTCACAAACATCGTCACTCGGCTGTCACATCAAACGATTATTAGGGATAGTCACACACTGCCTCACGACTCTATCGCGTATGGTCACACAATGATTCGCCTTGAAAGTTGAAAATACGTGAGTAAGGGTACATTTCGGACGCGACATGTCCAAAAAGAATGTGTCACAAACACGCCCTCAGAAGTCAGCGAAAAAAGGCCGATTAGAGGTAAGTTTTCAGTGCTGGGGAGATAGTGGGGCTGATGTGGCAGCATTTTTTAAAGGTGTTGGCTGAAATTCAGTTTTTTTTTTAAACACATATTCACTGAATTTTCAGTTTTTTCTATGTACTACACACTGACTGATCAGAGTTGCCTCGAGGGGGTGGGCTGAAATCGCTTTAAAGGGGATTCGCGTAGATGCCTTGAATTCCGGCTATCAAGGTACACCGGAAGGACCGACCCCCCGTCAATCACGGCGAGATGTCAAGATTCCCCGCCAACGCACTAGGAAGTGGTGTCAGAGGTCCATTGGAGATCCGCGATTGATCATAGGGAAGGGTTACAAGCACGTTACCCTGGGGGGTTATGGATGCACTCACCGCTAGACAAACAAGCCCCTTTACCCCAGTGGTTAGTGGCTAGGATTCTGACATGGTATCAGAGCAAAGGTCTCTGGTTCGAATCCGGTGTGTGCACCTCGGGCATCCCAGTGCGGGGGGTGTCAGAGGTCCACTGGTGATCCTTGATTGATCCTAGGGAAAGGTTACAGGCACGCTGGCCTGGGGGGTTGTGCGCGCACTCACCCGCTACACAAACAAGTCATTTTATCCCAGTGGTCAGTGGCTGAGATTCTGACAAGTGGCATCATTCCCGCACTTACCTTGCACTGCTGTCGTCGAGCGCAGGTCTCTTCGTTCGTGATTGGTTGTTTAGGCAACCACATCACTTTCTGGCGAATGTCACGTTAACAGCATCGCGCACGCACGATGCAACAGCACAGCACACTCAAGCACATTGTTGCCGCGCGACTAGGCAACCACCCCCACAGCACCCTCCCCGAACCTGCAACCAGGTTTGTGCATGCTGGCAACCAGCGCGTCGCCTTGCAACACACCCTTCTTCACCAGCTCCTTCTTGATTACCCCCATCCCATCTTGTTCCTGCAGGCACACCCCAACACATCCATCCTCGCCAGGGGTTCAGTTCATTCTCCGCTAACCCAAGAAAGTGCCCGGCACACTCTCTCTTCGATGTTCCGCCATGGCTGGCCATGGCGACACCCTTTCCGACGACGAGGACGGAGCGGATTTAGATGGCGCTGACGCTGACACCATCGAGGAAGCCCGTACGGGCCTCGATCTTCTTCTTAGCTCTCTAGGCCGCCATATTCAACCTCCACTGCCAACCACACCAGATCCAGATCCTCCAGTTCCTGAGACACCTGTCGAGCCTTCTAGCCTAGATTCTATACGGGCACACACTTCTGTGCGTGCTGGTGTTTCCGACACAGTTCTCGTCGGGACGTTGGCATCAAAATTGTCCACTCCGCGCAAAGTCAAACTCAAGCAGCAACGGCTGAGTTTCGGGAAGTCTTCATCAAGCATCCCAGTCTCTGAACCTGACGTCACTGAATCCACCATACGCCCTTCTCTGAACATCAACGTGCAAGAGCTCGTCAATACTATCTATGCCGATGCTTTGGAGAAGTACAAAACAAAGTGGGTAGAGAGGTTTCCGTGGCTTGTCCTAAAAAAACTGTTCGTGGTCTGCTTGCTTTCAAATGAAGTCTCTGCTCCAAGCACGCTGGTGTCAGGGCCAGCAAAGGTGCGACTGCCGTCCAGACCCAAGCGTTTCGCAAGCACGCAGGGACGCGGAAGCACAAGCTGGCATTGGAGAAGCAGGAGGCCCTACTTGCTGCCGCGACTTCGCAGCCTCGCATTAACGAGCATTGTGCGGCTGTCGACGCTGAGAAGATCCGTATTGTATCATTGCTAGACGTGCTTCTGTTCATTAGCCAGTGCGACGCACCCATGGGGACATGGGTGAAGTTGGTGCATTATCTGGCGCAGAAGGGGGTTCAAGGTTTCCCAAAGAAAGGTTACGAGACCTAATACACCATGTGAGTATTTAGTACATATGTCCTCGTAACATTGACTGCTCGGTTTTGCTAATACCATGTAATTTATTCATGGCAGGTACGGCTCTGGCGAACTCGTGCAATCAAATGCAACCTGGCTGCAAACGACTCAACTGGAGCACATTCTCCGAAGCCCGCTCATTGGCATCAGCCTCGACGAAAGCGCCGATCGCTGCAGGGGCAAGCACATTATAGTTTACGCCACGTTCATCCGCGACCATAAACTCGTGTCAGGGTTTATGCAAATGATCAATGTTGAGGAAGCTCACGCATCCACCTTGTTGAGTCTGCTGCTCTCTCAATTGCAGGCAGTTGGTATTGAATTGTAGAGGATTACGGGCATCAGCACCGACGGTGCTGGGGTGATGATGGGGAGTCGAGCTGGACTGGTGGTTCGCCTACGAGAGAGGGTCCCACACCTTGTACTCGTGTCACTGCATCGCCCACAGGTGCGGGTGTTGTTGCATCTTGCCCGGTCTATTTGTTCATAGTTCTAATACATTTATATTTCATAGCAGGGAGGCGCTTGCCGCTAAGGAGGCGGCCAAATCTCTACCAGTCTTCGACATGGTTGACGATATCGTCCGCGTGACGGCTGACCTTCTGGGACGCTCTGCCCCGAAGCACCAACAGTTCATGGACCTCCAACAACTCTTCAAAGAGACAAGTCTGGAAGTCCAGGGCATATACCAAGTTCGGTGGCTGTCTCGGGGTGAAGCCATACTTTGCATCCTTGCCGTGTGGCCTGCAGTTGTGATTTTCCTCAAGAAGTACCATTTCGCTATGTATCTGCTTGCCACCTCGTACACGTTTCATTTTTTTCATGTTCTTTCTGGCTGATGTTCTTGAGCACCTGAACCTCCTGAACAAGTCCTTCCAGCAACGCTAGGTAATTCAGTTTGACTGAATATGTTTTACATTGTCGCGGAAATTACCATACTGACACTGTGTTCCTCCCCTTTCTCCCATTGGCAGTTGGATCTTATCTCTCTTCATGCTCAAATCAAGCGCACGAACTCACACCTGGAGAGTCGATACGTCGACTGTGGGGACGACTTCGGCGGTGGCTTGAGCCGCTGGCTCTCTCCCTTTATCGAGCGCTACGGTCCTGGAAAGAAGCGCGGCGTGACTGTAGAGGGAGTCTACTCCGACGGCCGACCCGAGAAAATCACCTTCACGCTCCACAGCAACCCCGTGGATGGGCATGATTGCCCTGCGGATCACGACGGATGCATTGACCTCTGCACCGACTTTGCTGAACGCATCATGACGAACCTGGAGAGGAGGCTGGGTGACCTGGACTCACTGTCTGGTGTCAGGCTGTTCATGCCTGATGAGTGGCCGAAGGGCAAGCCGGAGTGACATGCACGATGTGTGGAGTGGTTGCTGTTCAAGGCTCAAGATTCGGAGGAGATCGTGCTAGGTAAAGTAACCATCGTTCATCCCGGTTGCTCTACCTCTGGTAACTGCCGTTTGCCCATTCCCTAGTGCCACGATTCACACTCAGCCTAGTAGCTCATGCTGCCTTGTTTGCCTCTCCCTAAACCCACTATTACGCCTTTCAGGAATCAACAAGCGACAGGCACAGAAGGAGCTTCGGTTGTTTGCTCTATCCTTGCTACTGCACCACAGGGGGAGCGGACGTTCCACGAGGGCCTCACCGTGATCCTGAAGACTCCAGACTGGCGCAAGAGCTACCCCAACCTCGTGCAGCTGTGGGTGGCAGTTGCGGTGATTCCCCTTAGCACTGTTGAGTGCGAAAAGGGCTTCTCGTGCCAAAACGTCATCAAGTCGTGGCTTCGAGGTGGGCTGAAGGATGCAAGACTGGGTGACTTGATGTGCTTGTCTCCGATGCCGTATGAGCCGGTGTTTGACGAGGTGGTGGACATCTGGAGAAGCTACAAGAAGAGGAAGCCGTTTTCAAACTCCCCCATTTCCACCCCAAGAGAACCCAGCAAGAAGGGGAAAGCTGTAGCCATGGAAGTAGAACACCCCAAGCCTGTAGATGCTCTCGACTTATCTAGTGATAGTGACGATGATGAGGATGAAGATGATGTTGATGAGGATATGGCATACGTAGTTCATGCACCGTTCTTCTCTCAAGGCTAAGATATAAAACGCTTGCTGTTGTAGGTGGGACAGTCCAAAGAACGTTCAGCCTATTTTATTTGGTGACTCTAATTGAACAGCTTTTGTACCACTGAAAAGTAAGTTTTTTAACA